TAGAGGTAGAATTTTTTTGATCCTGAGACTCTGGTGTAGTCTTTGAGTCCCCACAATCACTAGCTCAGACTGACAGACATGTTATCTTTCCTGCTTAAACACTTTCCTTAATACATGGCATCTGGTGCCCTTAAACGCAAGTACATTCCCACATGAGAAAGTGGCCATATTTCAGCTGTAGTGATGGGGTGGGCAGTGCTCTGTCAGATCAATTATGTACAAGACTCATCTTCTCTAAGGTTCTCTTAATTTTTTTTTTCTCCTGACAGTTCACCTTGTGCCCAACCTTCTGTCTCCCCCAGTCAGACCTGAAGACGATTGCATGCCACTGGCTGTCTTCCCTCCTGAGAACATGACACAAAGGAATGCTCCCTGTCAAGTTCTTCATTATCCTTCTGATGAATTTCCCCTGATTTAAACAAGTTGGTGGTAGACAGACCTTTCTTGCATTTTCACAGACATGCCAGGAGGAAACCCAGCGTCTCTCAGTTGCCTTTAAATATATGAGGTAGTATCTCATTGTGACCTCAGTTTTCTTCTAGTTCACCTCATTTTCTATTTCTTCTGAAGTAGTAATGCCACCTTGACCACAGTGAACAGGGCAAACCACCTCTGGGGCTTTTTAGAAGAGCAGGGAGTTCTCTGCCAGTGGCTTCTCTCTTCTGTCTGGGTCAGCCTGGGCAGTGGTCAGGGGAGCTGTCTGGCTTCCTAGCAGGCGTTGTTGTTTGTGAAACTTTATAAAACCCTCTCCTGGGGTGTGCAGAGGAGGTGACGGCATCACATGCTGTTATTTCAGTGAAGTTTTTGTAGTCTGACTTGGCAGAAGCCCGTCAAAACATAATGAAAGCAGCTGGCAGGGGGCACCATGTGGGAGTATCAGAAAGGCAGCAGCTCCTGTCCACTTCCAAAAGTGCAAAGTGGCAAGTGAGGTCAGCAATTTCCCCAATTGCATTCAGGATGTGGATACTTCTTCATGTAGCTCACTTATACCTGATCTGAGCCAACGTTATTGCTCCATCTGAAGTCCTGCAGTGGCCTCCCCTCTTGTCTCCCGGAATCCTCTTGTCCCCTCCACACAGCAGTTAAAATTACGTTTTTAAAATGCAAATCACTGAAAATATTTCAAATGCTTCCATGGCTTCCTTTCTTAATTAGAATGAAATCCAATTTCTTGTGATGGCCTGCCAGGCCCCTGAGACTTCACTGCCCCTCCTTTCAGGCCTCCTCTTCTACCATCCCCTCACTCATCACTGCAGCCTCCTCCTCTTCTGTGGAGGCACCAAGTCCATTCCTGCCTTATGGCCTTGGCACTTGCTATGTCTCCTGCCTAGAAGGTGTTTCAACCAAACCTTTGCAAAGTTAGTACCTTCTTGTCCTTGAAACCTCAGCTTATAGGCAGCTTTCTCAGGTGAAACCTACCTGACCACCCAATATAATGCAGACTTGCCCATTTTGCCCTGGTTTATTTTCTTTATTGTACTTCCCTCTTGCAGGACTCTTCTTATTTATCTCATATTTTCCTCTATTATTATCTGCTGTCTTCAAAAGAAATTGTTCTCATGACAGCCTTTTTTGATCATCACTTTGTATGTCCTCAGGGTTAAAAAAATGCTTGCTGTACAGTCGGAGCTTAATAGGTATTTGTTGAACATTTGAATGAATGGATGTAGTCTTTGCATTCTTTTGTGTCTTCTTAGACTGCCACCTGTGTTTTTCATTTATACTTTCTTTAAGATGTAGTTGATTAGAGTTTAGGACCTGGATTCTGACAACAGTGTGTTCAGGGTCCCATTTTGCTGCATGCTAACTGAAGAACCCGTGGGCAAGTTAACGCTCCAAGCCTCAGTTGACTGATCTCTGCAATGGGGATAATAATCACAGGGCCAACTTCTAAACTGGTTGTGAAGTTCAAATGGTGTACTATTTGATTGACACCTGACACACAGCAATTGCTGATTAAAAATAAAAATTTGGCCAATTTATGCAGGGTAGAGTGTATTCAACTCAAAGCCTTGAGAGGAAAAATAGAGGCCCACAGAAAATTTTTAATCACAGACCTTGGTGCTAGAGTTATCTGGATTGTTTTTTTAAAATTTATTTTATTACAGGGTCTCACTGTGTCACCCAGGCTGGAGCACAGTGGTGCAACCATGGCTCCCTGCAACCTTGAGCTCTTGGGCTCAAGCGATCCTCCCACTTCAGCCTCCTGAGCAGCTAGGACTAGAGGTGCATGCCATCATGCCCAGCTAATTTGTGTGTGTGTGTGTGTGTGTGTGTGTGTGTGTGTCTGTGTGTGTGTGTGTGTATTTTTGGTAGAGACAGGATTTTACCATGTTGCCCAGGCTGGTCTTGGCCTTCTGGGCTCAAGTGGTCCTCCTGCCTCAGCCTCCCAAAATGCTGAGATGACAGGCCACCATTTGAGTGTCTTCTTTACTTTTTGTTTCCTTCTTTGTAATGTGAAGAAAATTATACACTCCTTGTAGGGTTGAGGTGACGATTAGAGGTCATCCTTACCAAAAGGCCAAGCTGGTGCCTGGTTTTGGGCACAGTAAGCAGCAGCCACTCTGACTGTGTCCTCGCTTCCTGGGTGGTGAGATTTGCAGTGTGGAGAGGAAGAAAAGGGAAGCAGACAATCTAGCAATCTGTGGAAATTCTTTTTGAACGCTTTGATAAGCTCAGGCCCAAGGGCTGTCTCATTTGACTTCCTCTTACTCACCTTCCTGTCTGGTTGGCAGTCACCAGGCTGGAAGCCATGCCGTGGCCCCTCACTGGTGGGTCAGTATGTTTTATTTCCCCTCAGTCCTCTCTAATGAAAAGCACTCGCATCCAGTAAATCTTTCCTTTGCTCTTATTAAAGCACTTGATGTTGGTTATTGAGGTCTGTTCCAAGCTAGGTAAGAATCAATAAGGCGATCCACTTAATCACTTCAGCAATCAACAGGCTATTTTCTTAGCTTGCACTCTGGCCACTGCCTGCAGAAATCCAGGGGCTTATCAGGCCCTTGTAACCCAGGGAGCTGCCTGGAGACTTTCCCTTTCATTTCCCTCCTCCCTGTCAACCTCATGAAGTCCCAAGTGTTCTGAAACAGCCCTGCCCTCTGCTTGGTCTCAGGGCTGTGTTGGGTAAGATAATGACAAGCCTGTGCTTCTATTTGTACTCTTGCCATTAAGGGCTCCAACTCTGTCTGGGCTGTAGGCAGTCGATACCTGATTACAGATAGTCTCGTTTTGGCCATTGTGGCTTTGCACACCTGGGCAGGGCAACTGCTTAAATGAGGGTGACACTATTCCTACTGGGCCAAGCCTTTCTCCCACCTCAGTATTCAAATTTCACTATCACCGGGAAACTCCCAGGAAAAGGATCAGTCGTGTGCTCCTTGTAATGTTTTGAACATAGGTTTACTCTAAGGCATGCTATACCATATTCAAGCTCTGTCCTGTTTTCCAGACAGCCTGTGATCTCCTTAAAGACTGGAGGTGTCTCTTAGTCATCTCTGCATTATCAAGACCACCCCAATGCCTGACCTGCAGGAGCTCAATTGCACTTATTGAAAAGAAAGAAGGAAGGAAGGACAATAAAAAGGAAAGGATGAATTTTTTTTTGTAGTCCTGGAAAACAGCATGGTTCTAAGTCCTGGCATTGCCAATAATTGCTGGGTGACCTTAGACAAGATAAAGAATTTGTTTCAGACTCAATTTCCTTATCTGTCAGTGAATTAGATAATCCCCCAAATTCTTTCCAGCTCAAACATTTTGTAATCTTATGCCTGTAAATCTATGGTTACCAACTCTTTCATACCCAAAGCCACTTTATATAACAAGTATTTTGAAATCTCCTTTTGCCAACATGAAATGAAATGATTCAATATTACAACCTACCTTCATCCAATTAGGAAAAAAAAAATACTCTAACTCTAATTTAAATGGGAAATAAAAGGAAAACAATTTATGATAAAATAATACATATTCCTTTATGTAAAAGTATGGCTAGTACCAGAAGATATGATGAAGGAGTCAGAACTTCACACTACTCTGCTGAATCACTTTGAATGATGTGACAGTTACAAATGCAGAATGATGCAGGTAGGTTACTTTGGTGCCTCATATGCCACAAGAAGTACTGATGTCGTTACAGTTCTAAACTAGCAGCACACAACATTTCCAGAATTGACATGGTAGTTATATTCCTGGAAAATTCAAGATATGTAAAGCAAAGGTAGATTTTAAGCTCAGATAATTTAAAAAACAGGCTTTTCAGCCATATAAGTATCTATGGAACATTCAAAAGCTCTCTGAGAAGCAGAAAGATTCTTCATAGTTCAGAACTGTCCGTGCCATTGAAGATCTCTGGAATCCTTGGCTCCTGCCCACTATGAACCAGCAGAGCCTCCTTGTACCAACCAAGAACCTGCCCACCTACCAAATATTAAAAACGCTATCCACAAGGTGGTATCATTTCTTCCAGGAGCTACTGCTCTAAGCTTTAAAATGTTCTGTGCAGAGCAGGCTTCAAGGACGAACAATCTGCGTAGTCATCAGGGCTCCCTGCTCTTTGAAGGATCATGTGCTTGAATGCTCTGTCGTTACTCTCCTGAATTTCTTAATGATTTTTGAATAAGGGTCCTTATGTGTTCACTTTACAGCAGGCCCTGCAAATTATGTAGCCAGTCCTGGCTATGTATTATGACAGGATTGCTGTATTCCTAAGCATCTGAGAGATGTTTAGTGTTGAAATGACTAGTTTCCTTTGCCTAGTTGTGCTTTCTTTTAATTAGCTGGGATATCCTTAATTACTTTAATTAATCAATTTGTTCATTTATTAAACTAATACATACTGAGCTTCTATTATACACCAGGTAGACTCTGGAGTCAGAAGACCTGAACCGCGATCCTAAAAGAGCTTACAGATTCTTGGATTCTCTGACTTTAAGATGGAATTATTAATAATAACTCTCTTTACTTATTGTACAGAATAAGTGTGTATTTAAAAAGATATAGCATTTGGAAGTAAATTGTACACTATGACATAAATGTCAGTTGCTAATTTTATTATTGTGCTACTCTTTTTATCTTTGAAGTAAAGTTTTCTACTTTTCTTCATTTAGATATCATGGAACATGATGCTCTTGGCAGGACACCAAATATCAACTTTCCTACAAAAATCAGAAAACAGAGTAATTGGGTTCAGCAAAATCTTTCAATTTGGGTGTTACTAGTGTAGACTTCATGATAACTCAAAATAATTTTATCAAATTTAAAAAAAGATATGTTAAATTGAGTTTGTCACATAATCATGGAAGTTTTGGGCTGATATAGACTTCAAAAAATTATCCAGTGCTTAAATCTGCTATAATATCCCTACTGAGTATTTCCAGAACCAGCTTTGGTTAATTCCTGTGATGTGTCCTTTGGAAGCATGTGTGCACTATGCTAGGAACATTTAAAAAAGCAATTCAGTACCTTTGTATGTGAATTACAAATTATTCTCATCCACTCATTAGAGCAGGGCAGGGCAGCATGCCTTCTACTAGGCAATACTTACTTAATTTAGTTGTATTTTATAGTAACAAAATTTCTCTGAAAAGATATACTTTATAATTCACACTTTTCACAAATTCAGCTCACCCCAAACACCTACTTTTTTAATGGTAAGGTATTACCATATTATGAAGAAATTTAAAATGTAGGGAGTGACTTTCACAAGTATTAGAATATACTGGGATATAGTTAGTTGGTTTGGAGATTATTAAGCAGCAACAATTTGCGCTTGGGAGGGAGATGAAAGCTGGTCTTGCCTTAATTTGTTGGAGTCATGGGCTGAGTCACAGTAAGGTCCAGGCACAGGGTCATGTCAAGGCATGATCCTAACTCTGTTATCTACAGGAAGAGAAAGGGCCATTATACTTTGAGACTGGGATTCTTTCCTTTGTAGTAGCTTTATGAAAATAGAATTGAGAAGAGTCGCATTTTCATATGGACTGCTGGCTGTATATGGTTTGTACGTGAGAATTTGAAAATGGATATCTTTTGATAACATTAAGAAAATGACAGATTTTATTTATTTAGATAGTTTTATATGCAAACCTACTTATATACATATAGATGTGTGAGCGAACACGTGTGTTTGTAACAGGAGGCATGCAGAGGTGAAACAGTTATGCCCTTTGATAATACCAGGTGTGATGGGCTATTGAATGGTTTCCTATTGGAAGGACTCAAGCACCTTGCAAGCAGAAAGTGACTCTCCCTGTCCAAAGGGGTGTGAAACTTCTCCCACTGCGGAACCTCACAGGATAGAGAAACGATACAGCTCTCTGAAAGGGTGGAGTGGCAGGGGGTTCAGGTTAGGGAACAGGGAGCTGCAGGAAAATGCTGAAGGTGTTTTCAGAGTATGTTGGTGGGAATCAGAGTTTTCCCTAGAAATAAATTATTAAACGCTTGGAACCTAGTGTTTAAAGACTGAGTTCTAAGAAAGTGTGCAGGCAAAGACTAAGGGCTGTGAAGCAAGAAATGAGCATTCCTGTGTGGAAAGCTTGGGACAGAAGACTCGGGGGCCACAGGAAACACAGAGAGACTGTTCTGTAGCCTCATTAGTTGCACGATTCTTCAACAAACCCGCACCAGACTCACCGCGGAACGCATTAAAAAAATGCTAATTCCTCAGCCCCGCTTCAGGTCTGGTGATTTTGGAATATGTGGTTTTAAGCAAGCTTCCTGGATGATTGTTAGTCACACTGAAGGCTGAGAATGAGGAGGAATGGAATAATCATTGGTGTAATGCCTGTCTGCTCTCTATGTCTTCTATAAGGACAAGGACTGGGTCTTGTTCTGCAATGTTTCTCCGGCACCTCATTCAGCCCATCGACCATCAAAACCATTCAATAAATAGTTTTTGAATAATTAGATGAATGAATGAATAAAAGGAACTATAAACTGACATGATAGCCCACTCCATGCCTTTTATAATTCTTTGTCTTTTGATAGTAAAGGCCACAGGTTCTAGTTCGTATTTAAGAAGGGAGTTAGACATTTTTAATGAAATCCATTTGATGTTTTAAAAAATCCTGCTTCTAAGAGCTTTAAAGTATTGTTATATATAGGTATCTTGATTAGATGGATTCTTGCTGACTATTACAGTACAGATGCTGGCGCTAAGAGTGGGGAACTCCAGGTGTGTGCAATGTTAAGAATTCTTTGTTAATTAAATTTGTTTCTGTCTGCTGTCTATTGCACACCTAGCTAGAGGGATTTCGGGGAAACATGTATGAACTTACAGTTAAAATCTGGAAGAAAGAGTTCAAAGACAGAGCACATCATATTGTGGTGGTTTGAACATCTTTCAACTCCCTCCCTGTTATGCAACTGAAGGATACAGTGGAGCTGCAACCTAACCCCAAACCCTTCTTCCCCAGACAGAGGATTTTTTCATAAAATCCACTCAGGCCCTTCTTCTCATGTTCTCCATACACTTCTCACCAGAAAAAAGAAATCATTCATATCTAACAAAGGGTCTTGGATTCTTCAGATAGTTTCCATTATAAGCTTTTGGCACCGTTATTACTCTCAGCTCAAGTTACCTTTCTGATCCCTCTTCTTTCATCTGCTGAAAATGGATTATTTCCTTATTAGCTCGAAACCCTTACTGTTCACTGGAAGCAGGCCTGTGTATGAACAATGCTACCCCTGGCATATTCCTGAAGTTCCCCGGTTGTTCTGAAACTTGCCCTTAAAGCAAGCTTTCCTGAGAGTGGAATGACAGTGTCTTTTCAGGAAAGGGCTGCTATCACCAGAAAACTTTCTAGACCCTTGCCTTGAGAAAGCTGAGCACTGCCAACAAGTGCTGGAAACCATAACAAAGTGTTTTCTGTGAAGGAGATGTCTTATGGGTTGGCTCTATTTGGGGTTCATGGGTCTAAGAGGCACAATGAGGAGACTTGGGAGTCCTTCCTCCGCAGCTTCAGCCAGAGATTTTCCGCTTTGAACTATTTCATCATGGAAATTTGACTTCTTGGTTCATTTGGAAAAAAAAGATCTACTTCCTAAATATTTTAGAAATCACTTTATAGACTATCTCAAATTTGAAATATTTTCTGAGGTTCTTTACCAGGGTTCATGGATATTATTCAAGGATATTTGAATTTAGATGAGAAAATAAATTATGCCTTTATGTTCACTAATCTCTGAAAGAAATTTATCATGTCTGCTAATTATGATGGAGAGCAATAATATTAGCAATGGAGAGTCACAGTAATATTAGCAAAAACCAGGACTTTGTCATCACTAGAAATCACAGATATCTTCATATCACATTGCAGTCGTTGAAGATGTCTTGAAACATTATTTACATTTACCACTATCTTGAAATTCTGGTAAATATTAATCCCTCTAATAGAGCTTGCTTTGTGATGCATGAATACAGAAGCACTATTCTTGCTATAGCACACTATTTGAAATATTTTGATACATGGATTTGGTAGCTATCTATTTGATAATGTGTATATATTTGATCACAACATACATAGTAACTTTAGTTGCTCAATGCACTTTCTTCTTTTATGTATTTAAAATACTACTCTGAAAAGAGGTCCATGATTCACCAGACTGTTAAATGGGTCCATAGCATAAAGAAGTTCAGAACCCCTGAAAGCAAATCAGGGTCTGCATTTTGTGGTTGTAGTAGCTAATGAGTTGTGAGAAATAAAAAGAGCCCTTGACTTGAAATCAAGAGGTCTGTGTTTGAGTCTCAGATCTGCCACTTAACAGCTAAAGAGCAAGTCATGGGCTGCTTTGAGCTCCAGTTTCCTTACTGTTATAGGGAAATAGAAACAATGGCCACCTTGCAGGTTAATTGGCAGGGTGAGATCAATGGCTTAGGATCTCTTTGTCTCTGGTCTTCCTAACTCAATTTTTAAACATCATACACATGCATGCATTTTTCTTTTGAAATAGAGTCCTGATGATATTATTCCACCCCTGCCTATAGGATATAGTCCAGCACCTCAGCCCAGCACAAAGTTCTGGAACCTTCTCCAACAGTGCTCCCCACTCAACCACTTCAGCCATAAGGAGCTTTTTATCATTTCCTTATCACATCATCCTTTTCCTTCCCTTAAGAACCTTGTCCATTCAGTTGCCTGTCCTTGGAATAACTGTTCCAGCTTTTCCATTCAGAAAATGTACACTCAAATCGTGCCCTTCTCTCTGCAGCTCTTCCCCTGGTTCTCTCAGCAGACTCCCTCTTCCTCAATGCTCCCAGGGACGTGCTCTGCTCCTCTATTATAACATTTGACACCTGCTTATATTAATTCATTTTTACCATGTTTGATTCTCTCATTCTCATTTATATTATGATTTTTTTTCAAGCTTGGGATATGAAGCTGCATTAGGGAGAAAGCTTGCACAGCTTAAAAAACACGTTGATATTATCATCACATTGAGTGGACGTTGGTCATTGTATTTCTTTTATTTTGGAATTCCAGATACCGTGAAAGGATTTGAGGTTTTTCTTTGCGAATCCAAAGATGGCATTTACAAAAGGTGGAGAAGCAGTTCCCTATTGAGGGACATGCATACAAAAAGCAGATGACAACACATGTGAGCATTTCCCATGTGCATTCTGGGGAGGCACAAGCAGTGGAGCCTTGACCGGGGGTGGGCATTTTCCTTCAGAAGTTCCAAAAAGCCTTTCTCTCTCTCCTTCTTTTTCAGCCCATAGAGTTCCCAGGGAAGAATGAACCCAGATTCTTGACCTGCAGAGGTGGTGTACTGCCTGGAGAAGTCACTGGCTGGCAACCGTGCTATTCTGTCTGTCCACCTAACTGTGGGCTCCCAGATCACCACTGCTATGGGTAGGGGGCTGTAGGGTGGGCCTGCTCGGGCTGACAGGCTAGCTGTGCTCCCATAGCAGAGGTGGGAGAAGGAAATCACATCTGGTGTGCAGCTATGTCGTGCCAGGCACTGTGCTGTGTATTGCACACATCTCAAACCTTGTGACAAACGTGTAAGGTATTTTTTTACATATTACAAATGAAGGAACTGGGCTCAGAAAAGCTGCATTATTTGCCCAAATTGCAGCAGTAATGCTGAATCCAGGTTAATCTGACTCCACAACCCATGTTCTTTTCACTACATTCCCATATCCTTGTTCCCCCTACTGTCCTCACTGGTCAAGGTGAGCTTGGTCTTCCACAAACAGGCTAGAAAAGTATGCTTACTTATCTTTAACTTTATGCTTTTAAACTAATTCTTAAAAAATCTTCTCTGGATAAGTCAAAGACAATGGGAATGTGTATTTCTAATACATTAATTATACTACATTATTGGTTTACACAATGCCATCACTTCATCATCTTCTTTGACACAACATCCCCCTCCCCTCTAGTTTATAAATGAGGACGTTGAGGCACAAAATGGTTAAGTGACTTGCCCAAGGGGGAGATTTGTCCAATCATAAAGATGGGCCTGAACTTTTTCTACTTTGCATTCTGACTTGAAAGGCAGGAAACATAGGCTCAAGAGGGAGATCTCACAAAATTTCATGTCAGATTGTGCTCTCGCTAATTTAATCCTGTCATTCCTGGTTATATCCCTTTGGAAAAACCACCACCAATGCTTTCTCTTTTGATATATTTACACTAAAAATATTCCCTGTACAAACCACCTCACTCTTTCACAAGGAGCTGACTTGGCCCTCTCCCCTGAAGTGGGTTGCACATCCACCTGGCCCACCCCCCAAGCTCACTCTAGCTCCCTTCCAGTTCGAATTTATTCAGAACCTCCCTTTCTAGGAGGAAGCAAGGAGGGGGCAGTTATCTTTGTGGACTTGGGTCCTCCTGGACCCTTTGTCCTTGTGGTCATGTTTCAAAGAGAGTTGAGGGCTCCCCAAAGGGGAAAGATTATTTAAGTTTTGTAAATGCTGCCCTCCAAAAACCACTCCACATAAATGTTTCATGGCTTAGCCTCTGTAAGGCCAGAGCTGGAACATTCAGCTGTGAGGGTGTTTATATTTGTGGAACTCTCTTGAACATTTGCTGCGGGTTTTAAACAGCTGCTATGCTGAAGCTCTGGGGATAGGAAGATCATGAATATTCAGGTGAAGCCACCAGAATGAACAGCCGTTAATAGAATAAATGCCTAAACAGTTGTGTAAGGCTTATTAAGACCTATTGGGGCTGAGATAATAAATTCCCACTCTGACATGTTGCAACTACTGTCGCTTAAACACTCTGGACCACCTCTTCTGAACTGAAGGAAAAAAATGATGTTAGTTCTCTGCGCGAACACAAAGAAACACCTGGAAGCCTTGGCAAGGGGATGAGATTTGGCAGAGATCTTTCCGTGTACCGATGCATCCTCAGGAAAATGATGTGCCATTCATTGTTCCTGTTGTCAAGGTTATCGCAATCGACTCCAGGCTGGAACGGGCATTGCTCTTGCACTGAAGAAAGTCTGTCCTGACTCCCTCAGAGTGCCTCAACATCAACTGAGAGCCACCATGAACCTCTGGGGCACTGAGCCTGGCCACCAGCATCTGCACCCCAGCCCATATGGCCTGGGCCTCTCCCTTGGTAAGCCTCTTCCAACAGGGTATCAGAGGAACCAAACACACAATTACATTGAACACTTACTTGCTTTTCATTCGCTTGCTCCATAATCCATAGCAGGGAACACAATGCAAAGATTACAAATGTAAAAGTAACCTTTCCAAGTGGCAACACCTAGTGTGTTAAAAAGTCCATTGAAGACTGGGTTTGTAATGTGCACGCTGTAAACATGGGGAATGTGGGAAACAGTAGAGAGGGACTATTTTCTCCTTTGGATGTTAGCTGTCACATTGCGTTAGGCTGAGCCAGACTCCTCAGTTCTGGCTCCCACAGTCACAAAGCATTAACCAAGGGTATACAGGGGAACTCACCCAGGTTCACACCTAGAGAAGACTCAGTAATATTTGATCAGCAACCTGCTGTCAATTTAGATAAACGGCATTTGACTTCAAATAAAGGTAACTAACTCAATGAAGGAAGCCTGTGCATAGAAGGCAATGTTTGCTTCTCCCAAGCTGTCAGGGAGAGCTTGCCCACCCTAGCAGCGGTCGCTGATTTTCCCCACCTCTGAAGACATGATGGGGTCCTGCCAAAGACTCTGAATCATCAGAATTCTAGAAGAGACAAACTCACAGCAAAGAAATGCACATGTCTCAGTGTGGCTTAGGAGGAGTAGATTTTAGAGTGATGCTGATGTAGGTTTGAATTGTGCTCTGCCACTCAAGGTCTGTGTGTCCGAAAGCAAGTTATTCCACTTCTGTGAGGTATAGCTCTCTTGCTTGTAACACAGGCATTATTCTACCTACTCACAAACTTGTCCTGAGAGTTAAAAAGCAAATAAACCACCTGGTTGAGGAGCTGGCTCGTGGTCAGCTCTCCATTAGTGTGTTTATTCATTTATTCACATGAATCATGAACAGTTATTCATTAGTTTGTTTACTTCCCTTCCTCCTCGTTCTTTCTACCAGTGACCTGAACAGGGTATGGTTTTAAAAATTCCCTTGCAATGCAGAGATTAGCTTTTTTCATATGCACTTTCAGATGTCTCCATGCCTTTAATGGACTGGATAAATCAGAGATTTGCCTAAAAGTCAGGCACATGTAAGGGGACAAAACTTATATGCCCCTTTCCTTCAGCCCTCCATACTCTACTCTCCATCCATTATCGGTTACCTGGTTATCAATGTAAGAACCAAATCTGTTTCAGAACCTTCTGTGTCATGGTGAAAGTTCCAGAGGAAAGAACAGATGGAATAAATTAATTAGTCAAAGCATGCTTACCTGGAAGGGGACTTATTTCCAGGAGTGGCCAAAGGGTAGTGGAACATGCAAGGGAAAAGGAAGCAGAAGTCCTTCAAAGAGCCCAAGGGCTAGTGCTGGGCATCATTCTTTATTTTGAATAAAGATGTATGGTTTTTGTTCCCATTAGCAAATAAGTCAGGAGGGGTCTGACAGTGATTGTTTTTCCAGAGATGGGTCAGAAAGTGACCCTGAAAATCTGTCCAAACGGTAACACTCTTTCAGAAGGGGGGTGGGTAGGAGAGCCTTTAATGTGATCTCGATGGAGCTGATCAGACACTCGTCTGTAATGATGCCTCCTGGCAGGAGCTTGCATGGGGTTGGCTGGACAGCTGCCTTCGGGAAGCTCCTGGCAAAGCCTGCTTGCTTGGCCAACAGCAGGGGCCCAGCTGATCAGAACCCAGATCGTACTGCTTCTCTTTCTCTCCTTTTTTCCTCCTCTCTATCACGGGCTAATACTTATTTCATCATGCCCCTGCTCCCTGTCCTTGGCACCCTTCAATGTTGACTGTCACTCCCAGGGTTCTGATTTGAAAAGTTCCACTCCAGGATGGAGGACTGTAAGAATGCCACACTGTTATTTTTATCACACAACAGGTATGTACTCTAGGCAAACTTACACAGAGTAGAAGGCCCCTCAAAACCCCAGATTGTGGATTTAATATGCTAAAAATACCTGTCCTCCCACCTCGATTCCATCCCAGGTCTCTTTGTCACATGAATTCACTGTCACCATCTCTCCTTCCCTCTGAACTTGAACAAACAGCAAACAACACATGTTTTTTATTGCTATTCTGGAAAAGAAGAGCTGTTTCCAATGACAGCCTATGCCAAGCAGAGTCCCTCTTTTTCCAAGAGGTTTTGGGAATGAGTGAACTTATTTTCAGCCAACAAGCAGGAAAATAAATGCCAAATGGAGGTTGCTTCATAGATAACCAATGCAGGAAGGGACCTGAGAGATCATGGCCTCTGACCAGCCAATGCAGGTGAGGAAATTTGGGGCCCAGAGGTTCAAAGATTGCCCCATTGCTAGGGAGGATAGGAGAGAGCCAACGCTCCCACTGGGAATAATAATGAGGATAAATTACATTTACTGAAGCCTTTGTTTTAGATGCAGGCTTTCTGTCATTAATCCTTAACAACCCTCTCATATTCAGGCGAGGAAACACCACTGCAGGTGGGAAGTTAGGTAACTTACCCAGGGCTACACAGATAGTGAGCAGCACAGCTAGGACACGTGCTTGGGCCAGTTTGGTTTCAAGGCTGATTGCTTCACAACAACTCACCCTCCACCACCTCCCATCACTCCCCACTTGCAAGAAGTCACTGAGTCCAGAAGACATCCAAGGATTCTGTACTTGCTCTCAAGTGGAAACAATTGGATCAGACTTCCCATATGAAGTTGCCCAGTTTTCCTGGGCAGAGCCAGAGTAGGGGAAGTAGGGACATAGATCTCCTGTGCTGAACCTTAGCAAGCAAACCTATGGCATTTGCTTAATCTCTTGCCATCTTACTTTGCAGTTGTGGTTAGAGGTAATTTTAAATATGTCCCAGATGTGACTAGAGGGTAGTGAGCAGGTCTCTGGGATGGGAGAGCTGGGCCATGTGTGCACCAGCACCTTGAGCTGGCTCAGGAAATGGGTCTATCAGCTGAAAGGTAACAAACTTCCTTTTCCCTCTGGCCAGAGGAACCACAAGGTGGAATGGGGGAGGGGCCTGCAGCTGGCTTGAGTTGAGTGGCTGGGAGGAGAGGGCAGCTCCCAAAGGAAAAGCAGCCCAATGTTCTGCCTCTGTGAGGTCTGCTGGGTATGCATGGGTTTTAAAGTCAGGTAGATTTAGGCCTGCCACTTTACATCTATAGCTGGTAAGAAGTTTTGATTCCTCTAAGCCTCAGCATTCTCATCTGTAAAATGGAGATCTTTATTTGCCTTATAGGGCTGTTTTGAGCATTAGAAAGTATGCAAAGAATCGGGAGCAGAAAATGTTGGCTATTATGTTAGTATTTTTGAGCAGGAACAATAATGAAATCAACAGTTTTTAGATTTGTATTTTTCTCCAGCTCTCTCTCTTTCTATTCAACAGCTCCCAAATTTTAAAAAGAACAGATCCCAAGGAATACTCTTAGGTTTCCTGAGTAGGGTTGATGGCTGGGGTGCCAGTTGCTTTGCTGAAAGAGAGATACGGGGCATGGTGGCGGCGGCTACAGGAGAGGAATGGGTGTAGAGAAGTTGCAGGAAGGAGGAGAGAGGGAGGAGCAGCTATACCGAAAGGTGCTTTGGGGAACCAGAGGGATTTCCAGGAATGAGTTAGAGGAGGTTTTGCTTTATCATATAAAATGGGAACCTCCTCCTCTATCTCCATGAAGAAACTTTTGGTAAAACCTGCATTATGCTTCAATGCTTTCAGAGTACGCTTTGTGATACCTGTTGCTAACAGGCTCCAGGATACGAGTGGCTCAAAGTGACTCAGTTATATTCAAGCTAGTTTCAACAGTCTGTGTGCTGGGAAGGGTTATTCTTTATTCTTTGGCTACTGCCTGGAGTGATCAGCTGAACTGACAACATAGGTGCCATTATCAACTGGCAGGGAGGACTGGCCTTTGGCATTCAAAGAGTTTTTTTCCCCTTGGTAAACTCCATGAATGGGATGATATTGGTGGTGGTATGTATAGGTATGTATTGATGAAGTTCAATCTTGGGCATTTGAATCTGGAATCTTTGAAAAACTTCAAGGAAGGGTCAGCATTTTTCTTTCTTTCTTTTCTTTTTCTTTTTTTTGAGATGCAGTCTCATCCTGTCTCCCAGGCTGGAGAGCAGTGGCGCGATCTCAGCTCACTGCAACCTCCGCCTCCTGGGTTCAAGGGATTGTCCTGCATTTTTAAAGACGTCTTCCTCAGCAGTATATATTGGGTTAAGGTGTGTGAAGAAGGAAGAACTCATGGGAGCTTTTTTGGTCTTGTAGTATGCAACAGATGAGAGTCCTGGTTGTCTGAGAGTAATGATAATCAGTGGATCCTACCCTCTGGGGTCTTGGAAGGAGGCCCACACAAGGTGGGGAGTGGAGAGAGAGTGCCCAGGCTAGGAGTCTCAGCTCCCCCACTCTCTTGTGACTATTGCCAAGTCATTCAGCTTCTCAGGTCCCTCTGCTGTAAAGGGTATCAACAGTGACTACCAAACTGGGTCCGTGGGAAGATTTAGTAGGTTATCATGAAAGTGCATTGTTAACTACAAAGTGCTACATGAATATACAGTTTACAATGATAAGGCTCTGGGCTCAACCTTGACTCTGATGCTTTCTACTTAGGTGACGCTGCACACCACCTGTGACCTCTCTGAGCCTCAGTTTCTTTGAAGGAAAGGAGGGGCAGCAACACAAACTCTGCTGAGTTGTCGTGAGGATCAGAAGAGCAATATTGGCAAATGTGTTTCATAAATGATACAGTACCATAACTGAAAAAGTCTCCTGCAACTGCTTTTACTGCTTACAAATTTTAGTATCAATGTCATGTAGATTAAAAGAAAAATAGAGCCCTTATATTAAATACTGCAGAGGGCACACAGCCTTTTAATGCCTTCTAACACTCATTTCCAGTAAGGGGATGACTGTAAGCCTTTCTGAAATGAAACACTCTTCCATAGCATTTCATTTGAACCTAATTTTACTATGTGCCTAGTGTGTACAGAGTTCCTCTATGGGTAATACATGACTCACCCCTCAAGCTTTTCCATCAACAGTGAAAAGTCGTAACTATTTGATTTCCCCAATAAGGAATTATTAACAGTAATAATCTTAGAGAATATTAGGTTAGGCGCTGTGATCCCAATTCTCAGGGGAGGCCCAGGCTTGAGTATAGTAAATATTTTATAGTAATCCCCTGGCTAAACAAAACAGATGCAGAGTCCTGGGACTCAAGGTCTGGATTGTAGCTGCCTCAGTGAATCAAGTCACTCGCCTCTGGCTTGGTCATTCTAGCTTGGGTGCTACGGATCTGAACTTCTAAAGCCTGCAAGACAGAAGGCTCTGCAAACTCCCAAATTCAACATATCCCAAATCAAACAAAGCATCTATTCCATAGACATGACACCACCAGCTTTCCAGTTTCTAAAATTCAAGATTTCAGTGTTACAACTGACACAACCTTCTCACTTATTAAGGCCCATCAGGACTGGCCTATGTCTAGCCAGGCAGATCACCTAGTCAGCATTTGCCATTTGTCATGTCCTTCCATTTTTGCACCCACTGTCCCATTTCAAGCCTTCATTATTCTCAGGTGAACCATGGACATTTTGCTTCTTTTAAAAAATCTCATCTGGATCTCGTTATTCTAGCCACCTTTAGTGTATCCTTTGTACATCACTCTCCACTCATGTGCCATGCTGGGTTTCTAAAGCACAGGTATGAGCATCCCACTAGCCTGCTCATAAGCTATTTATGACTCCCTAGTGCCTATAGGGTAATGTTTACAATCCTTGGCCTGGCATTCTAGGACCTTCATAATCTGATCCCTATCAATCATACCTTGTTCTTTAGCTATACTCAACTACTTGCTGTTTCCTAGACACACTTTGCTTTCCTTCCTCTCTTCCTTTGTTCATGCAGTTTTATTCACATGTGAAATCTCTGTCCATCTTCAGGGAAGATGTGAAGAAAGACACTTCCCTCAAAAAAGTGTCTTTTCCATAAGAATCCCTTAACTGGAGCTAAATGTCTTTTTAACCTATATGCCCACAGAACTTCCTGCATCTTATACCAACTCTTATTACTCACACTATAATATAAAATACAAGGGTCACAGGTAGGAGGCAGCACAAAGGATACTTTCTTGTAAATGTCACATCCGAACCCTCCCTTTAAAGAACATTATCCCCTATTATTCTCTTTCATAGAATTTCATCATTTCTCTATAAAACATTGAACTGTGTTCATAATTTATATTTGTTCATACACCCATTATTTAATATTCGCCTTACCTATAGCACTGCAAACTCACTTTGGGAATGGACCGTGCCTGTATGTTTATGTCTATCACCAGGGCTCAGCAAAAGTGCTTGGCTCATAGCATATGTTAAATAAATACTAGTTAAGTAAATAAACAAAGAATGAAATGCCTGCAACTCTACCTAGATTGACAACTTCTTGTGGATATCTTTGCACTTCACTGCTCCATCTATCCCAGTCCTTTTGCTAGTAGATGCCCAACCAATGGTAATTGAATTGGATTTTAACATTAAGTCTTCATTTCTTTCTGTTGAGTGAGGAAACTATTGTGATCAACTTGTTGCCCTTTGGGTTTGTTCGTGAAAGAAAAGTCATCAAAAAATAGGCAATAAGGTAGTCTTTGCTTGCATTCTGGCAGACTTATGCATGGGAGGTTCCCAACATGTTTCCCAACAGAAAGCCTTTTCATGGTAATGCAGATCTACAAAGTGGATGTTAGTTGCAAAAAGATAATCAACAAATCTCTTACAAGAGTCTTTTTATACCGCTACTGTCAAGGGTAATCATGTTAGTTTAAGAAAGACATTTTGCCTTCATTCTAAGTATTCACACATGAAAATGTTGTCAGGTATGGTTTCTGGCTGTGAAATTAACATCTGCAGAAATTTATATATGTGTTCATATTGTGGATGACCCATAACTTTAATGAGGGCAGAACATAATTCATGTGTGAATAAATTGATCAGACAAATTGTTCAACCATTCATCTATTTGTTACTATTTTGTACTTTAATCTTTCATTCATTCGTCTGCTCACTTGACAAGTACCAGAGTGTTAATTGTGGGCTTAGTAGAGTGAAAGCTATAAGCTCACACAAGAGGTACCAGTACCAGCCCTCAGTGAGAGCTTAGTGTGCATAAAATGATCACAGAAGGCTTTATGGAGAAGTCAATACATAAAAAATAGCTTATTTCCTTTAACAAACCAAGGGAAAAATGGGATCTTTGTTTAGTTATTTTATTTTATTTTATTTTGGAGAAGGAGTCTCACTCTGTTGCCCAGGCTAGAGTACAGTGGTGCTATCTCGGCTCACTGCAACCTCTGCTTCCCGGGTTCAAGTAATTCTCCCGCCTCAGCCTCCTGAGTAGCTGGGATTACAGGCTCCCACTACCACGCCTAGCTAATTTTTGTATTTTTAGTAGAGATGGGGTTTTGCCATTTTGCCCAGGCTGGACTTGAATTCCTGACCTCAAGTGATCTGCCCGCCTCGACCTCCCAAAGTGCTAGGATTATAGGCATGAGCCACCTTGCCCAGCCTTTTGTTCAGGAATTTTATATTGCTCTTTTCTGTTGGACCCTTTTGGTCATTAACCATACTGTGTGTGTATGTTTACATTATGTATATATAGGTACATATGTATACATTGTATGTATACATTATGCATGTGTGTGGGCATGTATACAGTAAACTAGCCATGCCTAAATTCTGGCTGTGAAGGAAAAATGGAGGAAATTAAAATTTCTAATTTTCAAAATCCATTATTTATGAAATTTCTTTAAACTATAGAACTCATCATTAATAGTAATCTACTGTGTGGTGAGCCAGCACAGTATATAGTCAGGCGGAAACACTGGCGGGAAACCAGGGTAGGAGGCACAGCCTGGGTCACTCGACCGTCTGTCTCTAGAGAGTGTCTAGGGCTTTGAGTTATGTGATATAAAAATCACTGGCTTAAATTTATCTCTGTTGTCTTTCTTTCAGTGTTTTCCTTTGATTTTCAAAGTTTTGTTTACTAGATTCATGTGTTTAGTCTATCAAGAAGCAATCAGAATACAACTAGCAACAGACATTACTCTCCATGCGTAAGATCCCTTCAGATATACAAGAATCTGCCAGTACCCAGGTGAAGAAGAAACAGCTGTCACTTGCTAAAGGGTCTCCTGGAACCTTTTCTCCAGATCACAGTTAGTGAGCAGAGCCCTAAAGGGATATCGGGCATGTCTGAAACGTTTTAGGCCCATCACACAGTGTATAAAATGGTGAACGTTTGACCAGGCGCAGTGGCTCACCCCTGTAATCCCAGCACTTTGGTGGGCTGAGGCAGGTGGATCACCTGAGGTTGGGAGTTTGAGACCAGCCTGACCAGCATGGGAAAACCCTGTAGCTACTAAAAATACAAAATTAGCTGGGTGTGGTGGTGCATGTCTGTAATCCCAGCTACTCTGGAGGCTGAGGCAGGAGAATTGCTTGAACCCAGGAGGCGGAGGTTGCGATGAGCTGAGGTCGTGCCATTGCACTCCAGCCTGGGCAACAAAAGCAAAACTCTGTCTCAAATAAAATAAAATAAAATAAAATAAACTGAACATTTATGTTACACCACCAGCAAAAGAATAAAACCCCATAATTATAATGGAAGATTTCTACATTTCTTTAATTGCATTTCCTCTGCCCTCATTGCCCTCAGCCCCCTTGAGGTAACCACTCTTCTGGATTTGCAGGTCTGCCCTTATTTTCTGAATGCCATAGAGGGCAATTTGCTTTGTATGAACTCTAGATTCAGTTACTCAGCAAAGAGAATTTCCAATTCTTCGGGATTTTCTGCCTTAGATGATGACTAAATTCCTTTTTTTATTAGTTGATTTGACCCCCTGAAGATAATTTAAATTTGACTGGGGTATTTAAGTATGTGGATTCACCTTGAGTAAGTTGTTCCACAGAGACCACGGCCAAGCTCTCCATTAATTTAGTTCACTTATGGTGAGCAGCAGTAAGATTGGGAAGAACCAGGAGGATGTACAAATGGAAAACTAAGGGAATCCTAAGGGAAAGCTAATGAGAAATTTTGGGAACATAACTGTCATCCAACTATTTTAGGGACTGTCATTCTCCTTCATACTCCTGGCACCTAATGGCTCATCAAGTGTTTTCAGTTCCACTTCTCAAATATCTCTGAGCTCTGTCCCTTCCTCTTCATCTGCATATACAGTGCCTTAGTGTATTCGGGCCCCAGTTGGGCCTGTTCTATTGTAATAAGTCCTTCTCATTGCCTGAATCTACTCTCTACTCTCTTAATTCATTCCTTTCACTGAACTCAGAAATATCTTTCTAAAACACACATCAGAGTAGGATACTCCATTTTGCTTGACACTTTTCTGTGGCTCCCCATGGAGGTCAGGATACAATCTAGTCTCCATAGTCAAAGTCCCCACTTGCCTCTGCAGCTTCCTGGACCAGTTTTCTCTACTTCTCACCCTTGCTCCAATTATACTGAGCTCCATTCAATGTTCTCCTCTCATGTTGATGTGCCTGTGGCTGCTGTTACCTCCTGCTTGTCCTTCAAGGCTTAGGTATACTATCACTTTTTCTGGGAAGCCTTCCTTGATTGGCTGTTTTTGAGTTCTCATGACACCTCCAGATTCTTCTACCTTTGCACTTGATAAACTGCCTCTAAGGTGTTACTAGTTTGTCTCTCCCCCTTGACTGTAGGTTCCTTAGAAGGTAGGGACTGTGGGGTTTATTTCTGAACTACGGCACCCCCCCACCCCCACCATGCCTGGTCTAATCCATGCTTGTGAAACAGATGAATGCATGCATGCATGAGTGAAACTAATGGAGCACAGTTGAGAGTTATTCCCCCTCTTGCATGTAAGCTCCAAGAAGGATGAGGTTTTTGACTGTTTCATTCTTTGCTTAGCCTCTGCACCAAGAACAGCGTATGGCACATAACTGGTGCTCAATAAACAGTTAATGAGAGAGTGAACTATGACTTTTTCTGTGTAGCTGCAAAATTGTGACTTTTTCTTGTTGACGGTGGATAGTAATTCCAGGGAGACTGTCTGAGGCACCCATTCCTGCCCTCTGACTCACCACCAGGAGGCTCAGTACTGTGCATGCCTCAAGTTCACCAGTCAGGTCTGACAGCATGATTGACACGTTCTCTCTCCACTGGACAAGTAGTTTTCAAAATAGCAGTGTCTGAACCACCTGGGAAACAATTCCACCAGAGTCACCCAAGGTGCATGTTAATATGACAGGTTCCTGGGTCCCACAACACACTAGCTGAATCAGAATTTCCAGAGTGGCTCCAGGAATCTGCATTTTTGCCAACTTTCTACTTGTTTCCTGTAGATTCTAGGTGCTCTAGAAGGGTAGTGAAGATTCTAGCTGCTCTAGAAGGGTAGTGAATACCCATCACTATAGAAGGTCTAGAAGAGGTTGGGCAGCCGAGGACTGATAATACTGGGCATTTGTTTGACTCTCCCACTGCACCTCCTAAATAGCAAAAGAGTAGCATCGTCCCTGGTCCAACAGGCACTCAGTAAAACTTGCTGAAAAGAATGGATAGATTCCAAGATTCGTTCATACAAAATTATGTAAACACATGTAACTGTTTATTCATTATCTACATGCTCAGTGATTTATATGAACCAATAATTAGTCTATTTTTTTTTGTTTGGACTTGAAATTCTCTTTATATTCTCAAATAACACAGCTGATTTTAAGCCATTGCATTTCTCCTCTAACACTTTCATAAAAGTCACGTTTTTCTGAGTATTACAAAATTCCCTTAAAGAGGAATCCCTTAAAGTTAGTTCGTGTGAAGTTGACCTGGAAAAGGGAAAATGGGTCTTGAAATTGAGGAACCACAGTTATAACTACCTTAACTAATTTACAAAACACTCTCCATGAAAGAGGATGTAAAGAAATGTAAACGTGGTGCGCACAACATAAACGATTTCTTTCATTAGACAAAAGATACCTCTTGTTCCTCTCTATAGTCGGCATGTTTTATCTTTAGTGTTTACAAAGCATTGGCATTTTCAAGAATATTATTCAGATCACCTTGATGCTTTCTCTCCTGGGATCTTCTTTCCCAATCAATAGAAATGCCAGCAGCAGAAAGAATCAAGAAATCCTTGTTGAGCTGGGAATGCCTTTTCACAATAAGCTGGGAGGATTTCCTGACTCATTTATCTTTGGGATTTTCAGCAGGTGACCATGAATTCCTCCAAAGATGAACTTTTTGATCTTTTGATATATATAGTACACAGGCAATCACATTTACCCCTCTGGGTTTCACAAATTTCAATATCTGCATTTTCTATTGATTTAGATGTTTAAAGGAGATGATAAAAATACTGTAACCCAGATAATGATCACTTTACTCTTCAAAAATATTGCCCAGGGCACTGCTGATTATCATTACCTCTCTGTATCTGGTCTCTTTCACTTCAAGGTAGGGAACTACGTATGGTGGGTTGAATGGCTGCCCCTGTGCCGACCCCCTGCACTCCCTCCATCCCCCGCCCCCCTCCCCCCAACAAAATATGTGTCCACTTGGAACCTGAGAATGTATTCACCTTGAATCGGTGAATGTGAGGTGGGAGAATAGGGTCTGGAGGCTGGGAGCATAAGACCGATTCATGCTGACTTCCTAGAACTAAATCAAATGGAAACACTTCAGCTATGACAAGAAATATCCTCTCTGTTTACATAGGGCATACACTGAGTAGATGACTTTGTGACTTTACTTCATCCTCTTCATTTACATAGGGTGTACACCAAGTAACCAGTGGAAATCTCTAGAGGGTATTTAAACCCCAGAAAATTCTGTAATGGGGCTCTTGAGTCCCTATGCTTGGGCCTTCTCCCACCCTGTGGAGCATATTTTCATTTTCAATAAATATCTGCATTTGTTGCATCATTCTCTCTTTGCTTTGTTTGTGCATTTTGTCCAATTCTTTGTTCAAGACGCCACGAACCTGCATACCCTCCACTGTAACAAGTATGACTTGATTTTCAGCAGGGACTTTTGTGGTGTAATTTAGTTAAGGATCTTGAGATGAGATCATCCTGGAATATCTGGGTGGGCCCTAAATCCAATGACAAGTGTCCTCATAGGAAGAGAAGATACACACAGAGGAGAAGGTGGTGTGAAGATGGAAGCCAAGACAGGTGATACCAGTTGGAGAGCACCAAGGACTACCCGCAGCCACTGGAAGCTAGGAGAGAGGTATAGGACTGTTTCTCCTTCAGACCCTCCAGAAAGACCAAACCTGCCCACACCTT